TTTAATTTATTTTATAAAATGTGATGTATCAGAAGTGATGATACGGCCTATAGAATCATATCCCTATTGCTGTTTCAAAAAATTCCTCATACAATCATTAGTTAAAATTGTTTCTTGTAACATAATCAATTCTATCTTATATGTCTTAAGCAAAGTTTTTGTTTTTTGGCACTTATATCTATCATTAAGCCTTTTTATATTAAGTGTGGCAATTCTGAAAGTATTACCCTTATTCATACTAATATATAAATTAAATTATTTGTACCAACTAAAGCATTATCTATTTTATTGTATAATGTAGATATTATATCATTCATTTGTATATCATCCATGCTACGAATATCAAAAATGAGTGTATTATTATTCCTGGTTGTAATTTCTATCCTTGGTGTATATTTTGAAAATGTTGCCTGCCCCCATCTTAATTGTGTAAAGAAACTGGTTCATTTTCTGGGGTTTTAATTAGTTCGTTTGATTGTGCATCTGTTGTTGCTTCCTCCGATTCTAAACTTTTAATTGCATTTTGTGTCTTAGGATCTATATCCACCACTATAATTCCTGTATCACGTGATACTATTCTACTTGATTCTGATTCCGCAAACTTTCTAGAACTTTCTATTTTGTCTTCACTTCCAGGTGGTATTTCAAGTGAAGATGCATCTCTTTGATACCTTTCTTCCTTAGTCATATTGAACCAGTTATTGACAATGTTTTCCTTACTCTTTAATGTATTAGTTTCCTGTTTATTTGGCTGCTTTGCAGGATTCAAGTTTTCTTTATCACCAGTTTCATCTTTCGATTTAGGGCTATTTTTGTTGATTTTTCATCTTTTTTCACCCAACTTTTCTGTTTTTGATTCCTCCAACTTTTTTTTCTTCATTACCATGCCTCTGCTCTTGGTTTAAAATATACGTCACTATAACTTTTAACTTCACTTTCTATTTTAATAATTACTAGACACTCAATTACTATTACCAAAAAGAGTGTCTGTCAATCTCTACACTTTTATTTTTAATATAATTTTTTTAATATGACAACTTTTTTTATTGGCGATTTTTTTAAAAAAAAATAAAATTTGATATTGGTTGAAAGATACTGCAAAAGACTTACCTTTGTTGTATTTATATTTTGTTATTAGTTCATTTGATAATGAGGTAAAGTGAACTCAAACTGCCAGTGTTTTTGTTGAACATGTAGCGGTGGTGGAGTTGTCATCAGCAGAAGATACTTGTATGGGTAATGAAGTTGCAGAGTCGAGTTAATAGAGGTTATATTTTGAATGTTCATTGTATTTGCAGAGGTTATTTTTTGAATATCCATTATATTAGTAGATGCCATGTTTTGAAATTCTATTGAATCAATAGAGATTATATTCATTGCAGTACAAATTCTTATTTGGCCAAGAGCACACTAAAAAAATAGTCATAGTTTAAAAATCTTGACTCACTTAACATCTTAATTAAGATTGGTATATTTATTTAACTTACCAATAATAAATATGCTGCTTTTTTATTTTTTTTATTTTTTTTTTTTTTTTTAT